GAGGCGAGCAAGCACACCTCACCAAATCTCCGGGAGCACTGCAGTCTGAATCTCGTATAGAAACGAATCTTGGACGGCCTGTTTGGCCCAAAGCCACATAACCACCTGTAGGCCCAATGCAAGCCAAGGTGGAGGTTTACAGCCACATGAAGTTCGCGTGTTTCAGTGTGCGATGCGGGGCCGGTTGAACACAGTAGACACTGTAGTTGACAGATGTTGGTGGGCCACGCGTCCACAATTGCGCCCAGCACGCGCAAACTAACAGTTGGCTTCTTGTCCGGCACACCAGCATGAGACGTGCGTGCTGCATCTTCGCTGTGCTATGCGGAAGCGCCCTGTGAATCCAAATGTGGGGCGTTCCCACCCCACTATGCACAAACTAACTTGCAAACACGCTCCCGCATAAGACGTGCGTGCTGTATCTTCGGCGTGCTTTGCGGAAACACACATTGAAGCCGGCATTTAGATTGCCTTTTGCAAGTTCACGCGCGGCGGCTCACCACACAAACATGCTTAAGAAGTGCATGTTGACAGATTTGTGGGTGACGGTGTGCCGTTGGGATGCAACATTGAGGGGTGATTTCCTGTTCTTGTGGGTTGACTTCTTTTCGTCGGTGTGCCCCGCAGTGGGAGGATTTCCTATGCGAAAGGTCAAGCGCTCGTAGCTTAAGTTTTGGCACCCTTTTTGGCATGCGTGCCGTCGTTTTCCGAAATCATGTCTTTGATTTTGCGGGTTTTTTTAATTTTACTTTTGTGGCGTCCGTTTTGGTATTCACTCTGTATTTCGCCACTCCACCAGGGAGATTTTTACGCATCCTTTTTGCAATGTTTTCGTTCATAATTATCGCAGTTTTGGCAACATTCTATCCCGCACACCTTCCGCCATTCTTTGTGCCTGGCATTCTCGTTGGCATCATTTCTGGCTGTGACTGGCATGTGTTTCCTACATGAGAAGGTGTTGGCGCCAAACTGGGTCGCGGATTGCAAAGGTGGTTGGTGTAGATAAGACTTGATAAGCACACATCACCAGGTTAGAGGACAACATATAATATGTTATATGACAGTATATGTTGAACAGACATGTCAATTTTGCTTAGCACCGGCCATGAAACCTCAGTGCGGTGTGAGGGTTTTTTTCCACCAGCCTGTGCCCTAGAGGCGCCCGCCGGATGGCGCCCAGGCATGAAATGAAAACTGACATGATGAAACACCAGGGTTGTCGAGGTCCAAAAACCACACAAGACGAACAAACAACCGGACATTCATTCAATGTCTGCACGTTGTTGGTTGAAATATGTCGTGTCGATGTAGCGCAATATAACGAACAGGCTTCGTGGGGTCCTTTGCAGTTATGAATCCGCACCAAAACTAAAGGCAAACGGATTGATTGAGCATGCTCAATTGTTATGTCGTGAAATTGTTTTGTGTCTGTGAGCATCAGTGAGTGAATGAGACTTGTATGCCCGGTACAACGCCGAAACGGGAAGGCCTACTATAATGCATTGAGTTTCTTCCCCGAATGAACGTGCTTAACCTCTATCTTCAATCATTTTTGTACAAACGCCGTGCCATGTAACACCACTTGGTGCTAGCGTGTGTAAACGAAATCTCTGTATGGCCTCAAAGCAGCTGAGAGGGTAGCAGCCGCACGCAGCAAGACGATTGGCCCAACAACCAGTGGTGCCTCCATTTGCCAAGCCTCGCTGAAGGAGCGCGTGGCCGAAACCTTGGCGGTTCCCACAACAGTTGCGAAAATGTGTGCCATCAAAGCAGTGCAAACCAAAAGCGATGAACAACAATGAAAAACATACTACCCCATACTTCACCAGCCTATGGATCCCAGATTTGCATGGCACACTGCTTTTGATGGTTTTTGAGTTGGTTTTTGATGCCTGCACACTGCAAATGGGCGCACGCTATGGAAGAGCTACGGTTTCAACTTGTTTCCAATTGTTCCGTCGCAACTCATCTGGGGTGCCACATGCGGAGTCATCAAGAGACCAGCAAACCGGATAAACGAAATGCACGTAGTCTCATCCAGGTTGCGATTGTTTCGCTTTCCAGCCACCAACCCTTTGTGAAAGAGGTAAAAAGGTGTGTTGTGACCTGCCCCAACCATGCTAGTGGGTTTCAGCAAAATTTCATCTCGCCCAAGACTTCGCCCACGCCCAACGCATCAAACAACTTGGTGAATATGTTTTCGCAAGGCGATGGGTTTCAAGAGGCCCCTGCCCTGAAAGCATTGGTGTTCCATGGGCGTAGCCGTTAGTCGTGGGGAGAAAAACGTGCAGAGAAGGCAAAACGCAGGACTTAGCGCACCACGGACAAAGATTAGAAACAGATTCCCAGACTTCAAACTTGCACAACATCGCAAACAAGTGCACAAACTAATCGCGACCAATGTTGTCCTCCGGGACCTGAACGTGGGCACACCCCTCACAGACGGGCGCCGCCCTGCGGTCGTCGCTAACGGCCTCCCAGGGCATCAGGGCGTGCAGGTCGCCGCCGACGTGACCCTGGTATCCTCGGTCGCCAGGGATGGCGCGGCCCGCGCGCGCTGCGCCGCCGAACCTGGGGCCGCCGCAGCCGACGCCGCCGCGCGCAAGCGCCGCGATCTCGAGTTTGCTCAGGCTCCCCGCGCCCGGCTCGCCGTCCTCGCCCTCGAGACCGGCGGCCGGCGGGGCGACGACTGTGAGCACTTCTCCTGCGGGTCCTCTCGGCCGGTCGCGGCCCCTCCGTGGGAGCGACCTGGCCCTCGTGCCGCCCCGCGCCATCGCTGGGCGAGCCTCTTCTCCGTCGCAGCGCAGGGCAGCCTGGCCACTACGCTGCTGGAACTTCCGGAGCAAGGGGGCGGCGCGCCGCCCTCCCCCGCCGTCCTCGCGGACTTCACGCAGGACGCACGAGTGCTCCCCTGTACATAGTTCCCCGCCGTCTCACCTCTCGCTCGTCGCAGTTGCTTCCGAGAAGAAAAATTGTTTGTGGCCCCATGTCTGCGTGTTTCACCAGGGACCACCAACACTTGGAAACCGACTTCCAGGAACGCAGTCGAACTTGCGTCCTTACGTCATAGCAAAGCATGGCCCGGCGGATTGCAAGAAGGCAGCGTCGAGGCGTCCGTCGCTGAACTTTGAGCAAGTTCGTCCGGGGCCACTTTACCTTGTAGGGGCATTTGTGATGCTACCGCTGTCAAAGCCCATTGTGCCAGCTGCGAGCTCTTCGACCGCATGTCCTCGTGTTTCTGACCGTGGGGGCCCGGGTGTTTTGGAAACAATGACCCGACGCACCAGCATGAGTCCGCCATTTTTGGCTCAACTGGGCACGGCGCCACATGGTGGAAAGATGTGGAAAGAAACTGCCGCATTTGCTGAATCATATGATAGGATATAGTCATATACGATCATATAGTGTCATACATACGTTGACAGCGCATGAAAGACAAGGACAAAAAACCGCAGAAATAATGTTTTTCGGCACTCTGTGTTTTGCAATTCTGAACGGCAAGGACCTAAATGAATCTCCAAAAATGGTTCGAACCCTGGGCAAAACGGAGCAAAACGGACTGGCCGGAGGTGACAAACAAGACATGAGAGTCCAAAAACGTGATTGCCGTTTCTAGAATCATGGTGTGTACGATGCGCAGCACGTTCGCATGAAATGGCTGTGGTTGGGTTGGGTTTTGATGCCCCAAGCGCGGGCACTCAGGAGCTGTTTGCTTCCCAGATGGGTTCGTCATGTCCGAACGCGGGGTGGACGCGCATCTCCATACCCCAATGGGACCACCCAAAAAGGTTCGTAAAATCAACACGTTGCTTCTAAGAAAAGGTTTGTGGCATGTTCCGGCCCATTTCGCGCATGACATGCACGAGGATGGACGAGGATTTCCCATATTGTTGTGAGGGATGGGAATTCCAAACTTTTTTCCAATCAGTTCTGCGGCATGCGCAGGTCGGACTTGGCCGTTGGCAAGTGGAGCGGCCGAGATTGGTGGGAAGTACTTTTTCTAGCCTAGGGCCATTCATTGCCTTCATCGCCCAGCAAGAAAGAACAAACCTCGCCACTGCAAATTGTTGGACATTTGTTGCGAGATGTACGCCAGCTAATCCTCAGATTCGGTGTTGTTTTGCGTTCCTTTCTTTTGTGTTCTTTTTTTGGGGGGGCGGATTTTTGCATGATGACATGTCGGCCGCCTCCCTCCATTGCCGTTTCTCAGCCATACAGACAGGCGATGAAGAGCATGCATTCCGTGTGAGATACCTAACAAGTCAGAAACGTTAACTTCCCAGAACGGTAGCATGGTGCATCTGGAGCTTTGGCAAGATCAGGCAGTGGCAGTGGCGATGATCAAATGTTATCACAGGTATGTTCTCTTTGGTGTGTTGTCCGGCTACGGCGAATTAGTTTCGATTGGTTCGGCTGGGGCTGTTCTTTTCCGGGTTGCAGGTATATCATGTAAATTACCTAGCTCAATCAGACCCCGGGTTTGGGTTTCTACCGCTGCGCGAGGAAACGCTAGGACAGGAAAAAACACGTCCCCCAAGTGAACACAGGCTACAACTTCCAGCGCGATTGCAACTTGCGGGTTCGACCGTGCCCTGAAGCAGAACGAAGTAACATGAAACGACCATTGGGGACCTAGTTACTTGTTGTAGAACAGTTTCCCTGGCCTAATGTTTTCTTGGAACGCCTTGCGGGCATTCACAGGGTTTCCCCAAGAAAACATCGCCAGACATCCCGGCCCATAGACCCATCGACAACTTATTCAAGACACCATGAATCGACCGGTCGATTGGCATGTGTTCTTCAAATTGACGGGTTCCACTAAAAAATCTCGAAAGTGGACCATCGTGGACCCGTTTCGTCTTCTTGATTTCTGTTAGATGTCATGATCCATGTCTTCTCCTTGAGACGACGCCATGAATCGATCCGCTTTCAAGACACGAAGGGGAAAAAAACCGTTTGCTTGCTTCAGGTGCGAAGGCCTCGGATGGAGCGTCACAAGGACCGACCCCCTCAGCGGAGAGGAGGTGTGGGTCAGACCAAGCACAATGTGGTGGAGCCATGGGTGGAAGGGAATGTTGCACAAGTCACACGTAGTTGTAGATTTTAGGCTTGCAATGCATGTCTGTGTGTTTGTGTGTGTGGCTGCACTCATGCAGCTATAGGGGGTGGACCCCCAGGGGTGGTACCCCCCTGAGAATTGCTTAGTGCGAAGTTGGCTTGTTTTTTGTGATTTGTTGATGTTTTCACAACAGATTTAGTAAGAGCTTAGTAGGGCCTTACCAGCTTCCTCTAGAAAGTGTACTTGCTTAGTAAGGCTTCCCCAGGTTGCTACTGCGGCTGCGAGTGGTTATTGAGTGGGTGCTAAGTATAGAGTACCTAGTAAGGCCTTACTAGTGGCACCATAGGCCTTTGCTCAAGGGTCCCACCCCCAGGGGGTCCACCCCTTGGAGCTGGATAATGCACCTGCGGTGTAATAGACTTTTATGTTTTTCCCGATTCATGTTTTTCACTGCAGTGCGTTTCGGGCGGGCTGCCATTTGTGCTGGAAGTGGCTGGGAGATAAACACCATGATCAGGATTCAGACCCTTAGTCCGCCACGGAAATGGAACCTCAGCCCCTCCCCCTGTGCTCTTGTAACAATTGTGTTTCCAAAAGCACGGAAGGTTAAGGCTCAACTCCTGGCAGGGGACCTAAGGAGGGCTAAGGTTCAAAAAAATCCGTGAGATCCATCACTTATGAGTGGCGGCCATGGCTGCCAAGGCCGCCGTCGCCATTGTGAAGGCGATGGCTCCCGAGGTGAGGAGAGGAGGGAATCGTTCACAATTGACGGTCACAGTGTTTGTGAACATGTATGCCGTATGGGGTCATATGGGGGTGTGGTGTGCTGTGATGTGTGCCAGTTGGAGGTCTGGAAGTGGCACAGGTGCCGACAGGAAGTGGAAATCCAACCAACAGCTGGCTTGGATGGATTAAGCCAGGCGCTAGCCGCGTGCAGTTGTCAGAGAAAGCCCCGTGAGCACCCAAAAACCTATTCCCCAAGACGAGTTCATATTTTGGCTTAAGCGATTGGCATCATGGTTTGCATTGCATAATTTTACATGTAGTGCGTGCGTGTGCGTGCCCAAAAAACAGTTCTATTCAGCCTGTAGTCTAAATTGGTTTGATCTGATAATTCACCCACCCAAAGACGTTGACATGTTTGGATTGACCCACCAAACGTTAATCCAGTCAACCCAGTGGTTTTGGAACATAATTTGTTTTGGTCATCTCCGAAGGGCAGTGAGGAAAGATGTAAATCGTTCCTGCCTCCAGGCACACAGTCCTCCAGCCTTGCGCCGTGCCGAGCGACAACGCTTTGCAGAAGCCTTCGAGGCGGCTTTCTTTTTTTTTTTAAACTTTTTCCGGTGATGCAACTAGACAGATCCATGGCCTCCATGCATTTCCTTAGGTTTCCTTGGGCCTGCTTGGGTTTCCTTGGGCCTATATGGGCCCATGGGCATCCATGGGACTGGAACACATGCCTGCCTTGATCCCAGAAACCGCCCCCTGGCCTGATCGGCATGGTGCCAGCGCGGGTGATTTTTGGCACTCCAAGTCGGAAGTTGGCCACATGACAGTTCCACCTGGATCCGCATGCCCCTTGAGAGGTCTTGATGTGTCCGCGAAAGAGGCCACATGCGCCACATGGCTTTTGGGTAGACTTCTGTGGTCCCTCGACTTCCCCCTTTGTGACGACTTCTTGGGACCTTCAGGTTGGCGTGACCGGGTGGGATATACAGCAGACTTTATGGGTTCTGACCGGAGGTAGGAAGTTGATTGTCTCAGCGTGCGTTCGTTTTTGGTGCTGATTTGTAGGTTCCACCTCACAATTTGCGAATGCACATGGGGCTGGCAAAGTGTTGCTCCAATCTGTAGATGCCATAGGTGTAGTTGGAAGAATTCTTGGAACATTTCCACTTGGTAGCGTTGGTTCCTGTGTGTCGCTATTGCAGCAGCTTGGGCAACCGAGCAGTCAACAAACATTCTCACAGCCAGCATGTCAGTGGCGGCTTGCAGAAATCTTAGCTTTGCGGAATTAGATGTGAACAATTGTTTTTCAGCTTGGCCCTTGGCCCTTGGCGGTCCAGAAGTCCCTGGTGATGTTTTGAATGTGTTTTTTTCTGTGGACTTTGCTCGGCCAAGCGGCCTGAGACTTTCCCAAACACATCCTCATTCGACTCAGTTACCACCGCAGGTCAGTGGTTCCAAAAGATTAACACCATAAAACCAAACATGACCAAACTACAGCTGTGAAGGGCATCCACCCTCGTTAGGCCTTCAAGGCCCCCGTGAGGCCTTCAAGGCCCCGAATGCGAAGGAAGGGCTCAGCGTTGGAGGTGCCAAAAGAGCTGGGGGAGGAGGATGCCACGTGGGTTGGAGAGGCGCACCTCCAGTGACCAAAAATTGCCCATGCCTGGAAAGAGGAAGTTATCATTTTCCACACCCTTAGAAGTCACTTGCTATGGCTTGCGATGTTGGGGAAGGGTGTGGAAGGTGGACATGTAAATGGCGACGAGGTTCAGTGGGTTAGGTTCATGGACGAGCTGTCCCTAAAACCATGCTCATCGAGACATACAAAAGTAGAGATCAAGCCGCGCCTCGCAGCAAAACCAAGTTCACAACACTGTTTCGGTGCGACACAGCATGCGGGCAACTCCTCAGAGGCATGATCAGAATGCACCAAGAGGGAAAATCCCTTTAAACTCTTCCTGTCAGACGTTACTTTCTTGGAGAACATCATGGCGCTAAGAGCCTACATTATACACATACACACACAAAGCATTGTTGTTGGCCGGTCTTCCACACGGGACTTGTTTGCTTGATCTTTTTGATGGCGGACTTTACTCTCATGGAACCAGTATGCTTGTGACACGCCCCCTTCTTTTTTCCCTCAAGCTGAGATTGAGAAGTTACAATCCTGAGATTGAGATCGCGGAAGAGATCCTTAAACCGGGCCACCGTTCGAATCCGTTCCGAGGATTTGTCAAGCTCTGCCAGCGCTGCTTTCGGCCACTGGAAGGGAACGGTGTGGAATGTGCGCATTGAGGCATGTTTTCGTTTATAGTGGACTCTTTGACTGGGTGGTTTTCAATGGTTTTCCATGGCAACACACACATATATATATATATATATAGATATACATAGGTATATATACATGTACACATATATATAATTTGAAATATATATATGTGTTATATTATATAATATTCAATATATAAAATATACTATAATATATAGTATGTGCATACCACTTTGGTATCGCATTCGTTATGTTGTTATTCCTGGCAGCGATGCCAGAAGATCCACATTTGAAAGGCCTTTCTGGGTGGATTGTCATCCACATTCCCTCTGAGGCAGCCCTCCTGCCACCTGCGCAGTTGTGGACACCATGCATGCATGGTGTATGCATGTCAATTGCGCGGTGTTTCTTGTCACGAAAACCGCGCCTCATATCAATACTATCTTTTTTCATTTTCATGCTATGTCGCCTTATATTTGCACTGGCCTACAAAGCGCTGACCATATTCATCTAGGCTGTCCATTGGGGTGGTGAAGAAGGGGTAAATGCTGACGATGCTTTGAACCTCTTTTTCTCCCGCGCGGGCTCCAGGTTCAGCGACACCTTCGGTGCCAACGAGGCCGAAGAGATCTTCTGGGAGGCCGGCGCCGAGCAACGCAGCACCCCACGGTGGATGGGGTGAAATCCGCCCCCCTGGATGCGGCCAGCGGCGGCGATCGGCGGCGAAGGGGGGCAGGGTGAGGATTGGGAGGGTGAAGGAGCGGGTTTGGGGTTCTCACTTCTGGTGGGTTCCCCCAGCAAGTGGTTTGGTGGCAGTATCGCTGGGTCACATAAATGATCATAAATGTATATTAGGGGGTACCCCCTAAAAGAGTATTGATACCTTCTTCCTTATGTTCACCCCCGGTTCGATAAAACTTGTAGACACCATTAGGCACCTGTCACCACCTGCTGTAGCTGCATGTGATAGAAAACGGTATATTCCACACACACCCTCCGTTTGTAGAGTTAGACCTAGTGATGTGGCGGAACTTGAATGGTCATAGAATGTCACAGCATCCAGGTCACGTTCTTTTGACAGTTACCATGGGCGCGCGAAATGCATCCTATTCTCATGCGCCAGTGGTCCTTGTTGAACATCCTTTTTTTTGGAGGAACCTCCCTCGTTTGTGATGGCGTCATGGCAGGAAGCATTAGCCCAGAACATCCCATATCCGAATCCCCGAAGTTAGGGAACCCATCAAAAAGGGAACAGAAAACCATCAATTTTTTGCAGGCTCAGAGTCGCCTCTAAAGGCATACCACCTGAATTACCACGGCTTTTTTGTTTCAAGCTAGAGCTTGGTTGTACACTGTCAGGCCATACAGGTGACACTGGAAACTCCGCGCTGTTTGGTCAAACTGGGCATGAACTGGACATGAACACCATCCCGATGACTGAAAAATTTTAGAGCCATCCAAAGGCAACTAATGTAGACTCTTGATGAACAGGATGTCCAATTCGATTGAGGGGCTTATTAAATCAAAGAGTCGACATTAGGCCACTTCCTCAGACCCCACATCACGCTTCCATGCTTCGTCGCCAGGTGGTGTTGCCCGGTGGAGAGATGGACTTACAAGGCTTAGACACGGCCCTCTCCCTGCAGCTCGGCGCAGCGCGGCACACCACGCGGCACACTACGCGGCACACCACGCGGCACACCACCCGGTCTCGTCCGTGAGCGGCTCCGCGAGCGAGGATCGCTTGGCGCTTCGGGCGCGCCGCGGGTGCCTTGAAGCGTGCGGTGAGCCTAGCAGGCTGGACATGGCTGGATCCGGGCGTTGGGGGAGGTGGGCGGCAAGGGCGTGGAGCAACCCCAACCCTAATGTAGACCGTGATTCATAGACCTCCCACACAACGAGGTTTTTCAATCCAAATGGGGTGGGTTTATGTATCAAACGTCTACATTAGGACATCCTATAGGACTACAAGACCACCGTGCGCCTTTGTCTCCATTTTAATCTTAGCTCCCAACGATGCAGCCACCGGTCTTCTGATCCCTCGAGAGGTCGGGGAAATGGGCACCGAAATGGGCACCGAATGGAGGTTTGGCCAGCAGTGGGGGATGGAATGAGCTTCTATGGCGGAAGTTCGAAGTGAGGCACCCTATCTTGATAAAACCCTACAGGTCAAGGACCTCATTGGACTAGGTCCAGTCGTGCAAAACCAGTACTCAATGAGCTCAAGGACCAGGTTTAGCTGGAAGGACATAAAAGGCAAACGTATGCAAACGTAAGCGAATGACCCGCGAATTTGGAAAGCCGTTCAAGGGTCACACCGCGGCTTCAATTTGTTAAACCGGGTTGGAGCGGAACCGAAAAGGGTAGGGGATGAAACCCCTGGGCTTCAGCAGAGATCCATCGGGGTATTTTCTCCGACCCGTTCAACGCTTCGATCGGGCTGTAAACGATCGACCTTGGTAGCGAGCAACAACACGTGCCATTTCTCCAGACAGAGGCCGCAGAGGCCCCCACAGGTTTCAGATGGTTTCATCTTGCGAGCGGTCAGTTATCCGCATGCCGGACATGCATGGTTCATGGTTCTGATATAAGACTTGCCACCCGCATCCCCCTGCCAGAACGAACTGCGCGCAACAGAAGCGATGAAAACCGAGAGAAGTGAGGTGAGCGCTTGAACAGCAATGTGACGTATGCTTTGGCCGACTCCCAACCTTCCTCCAAAGAATTGCATGTCCTCTTTGTTGTTCATTGTTCTTCAACACAACGTTCGTGACAACACATTGCCCTGTAGCGCGGCCCTTTTTGGAGGGCAAGTCAACATGAATCCAGTTGGAGAGGTCAATTTCATGGTTCAGAAGGGATCTGGCAGTTTTCTGGGGGTAAGCACTGCATTCAGGACAACCGCTGTTTCGCACACTACAACAAATGCCACTCCCCGGCGTTTTCGGGCGGGGGGGGAGCAATTGGATTCCTCGTGCTGATGTCATGGCTTGGTGGCTGCTACTCAGCGCCCTCGTTTTGTGCGGTGTGGCCGACCCCTGCGCGCAGGTGACTGTGAGAAGGGGGGCTTGCGGTGATGGGTGGTTTTGCACCTGGTGCACCAAGCTAGAAATGCTCTCATCACTCACTGACGTGGTTTGAAAGACGGTTGCCCTTGTACTGTTTGAATCTGTTCAACCCACTGGCTCATAGATTCAGATGAAACATGATGAAACTATACCGTGGGAATTGTTGCTTTAAAATTGTTTTAGGTGACCCGACAAGGAATTTCCTGCTTCTCGGGCATTCAGCGCCGCTTCAGGGTTAGTTTAAGGTCGCTTGGTGGGACAGACTGGCACGTAAGACTGCCTTTCAGCAAGAACCCAAAGATCACCGTCCGAGATTGCCGCGTTTAAAAGCGGTGGCTCTCCAGCTGGACCGAAGTCACCGACTTGATGCGAAACGGGGATACAATCCAAGCAATTGATTTTATTCCACGATTCCACAGGATTGTTCTTCACATTTCCGTTCTTCAGGCACCTCTTGGGTGGCTTCTGTTGGCTTTGGTGGATGTTTTGGGACGGAAGCTAATGAAGCCTCCCCATCAGAATCAGGTCTGGTCCCGGGAATCTCAGACCTGGTAGCGCTTGTATCAAGCCAACCGCCGGTTTAAGCCTGCTGCATCAAAGCATTATATATATATATAAGCTTTTGAGCATTCTTGGGCACCTGGCAAACCGGTGCCACAGCACATTCTTTCTTTCCTCAGTTCTGATTTGCGAAGCACTATCCTTTTCGGCATATGAGGAAAATGTATGAACATGTCCAATTACGCGAATGAGATGCCCCAGTCACAAGAACATTCAGATATCTGAAGATATCTGAAGCTTCTCCTGCCCAGGTCTTGGGACATGACAATGACACCTGCATCCTGGCACCTGAGACCTGTAGCCTTGACTGGGGCAAGGATCTCATCCTGCCCGTCACCTGGATTCGGTTCAGGTCGAGGGAGGCGGTTTGATGTGAGACCTGTGGACGAAAAGGATGAACCTCCGGGCCAAGAAGAGCAGAAAAGATTGTTCTCAACCTCAGAATTTGGCCTTGGGAGAAGAAAGGAAGGGAGAGAGTGCTCGACCCACCCCAAGAAACTCTGAAATGTGTCGATTTGCCGCCTCATCAGCCGATGGGTGGAACGAGCACCCTAGACCGAAGGAAGGGGTAATGGCAGCCCCTTTCATCTGCAGCGAGTCAGAGCGAAGGATGGGGATGTATGACTCCGGCTTGAAGGCGGGTTCCCTACAGCAACTCTCACCCCTGCCTCAGCATTTTTGATCCCAACAACTATGCAGTAAAGTCCTTCTTGCCCTAGAGCTGAGTAATATATATAGAACACATGTTGCATATATGACATATATGGTTGAAATAAGTTGAACATAAAGCATCAGGGGGCTTTTCCGCACATCACATCGAGTTGACCTTCTTTTGTTGACTCACTTTGTTCTTCGACTTCTTTTCCTATGCTGTCGTGCTGGGCCGTTCACCGATGTCGTCACGAGACGTGCCGTTCCTTCCGACTCTTCAGAACCCGCGCAAACGTCCGAGGAGAATTTCCAGCCCTCGCAACTTGCCGGGAAGCCGTTCCTCCACCGGCCATCACGGGCCGAAAGGTCAACCATGGGAAGGTTGACCTTCGTTTATGGGTTTGGTTTTGAAAACATCAGAGGTCAACCAGGGCCGGGTCTTGGGACTCACAGCGAACACAAAATACGGTAGATCGACCAACATGGGGGGTCCTTCAAATTCACGTCTTGGGCGTTGCGGGCGAATGTTCCAAGTCCAACCTTCTTCGATGTCCCAAGTGGTCGTTGCGGGGCAACGTGCTTTTCTCCAGTGACGTTTCCCTTGGAACACAGTGGGCGGGTGCAGAATTTCCGCCTGTTCGTCGATCAAACCCCGCCAGGTATAACTCGATGTTAGGATGTTTCATGATTCTTCACCCCTACCCCTATGTTGAGGGAGTTAAGCTTCCACCGGGTGTGATCAAAATGGTAAAAATAAGTATCGTCAAATTAGGAAACATGTAGGGCCTACCCTATTTGTCCCCCTGTCTCTGCTGTGAATGGCCCCGACCTGGACTCGATGCAGTCAGTCGTATTCTTCACGGCTCGGTTGACCGACTCCACCACTGTGGGGGCCATAGGTTCCGGGCGCCCCAGGTCGCGACCAACCCGACGGTCTGGACTGATAAAGCGTCCTCCCAAGAAGCTCACAGATCTTCCGGTACTCAGGAAGTCCTGTGCTTCCATGGAGCTCTCAGCGGATCGTGTGATGCTGCATCTTGGGCGAACACGGGGGTCGTATGGGATCCACCGGTAGCTGCAGCTGGAAGAAGTGATCGTCGGAGAGCGGGGACCTGGGGATCACCATGTCATGGACCGATTTGGTGAACACGTCTGAGGTCCGAAGGACCACTCTGGAACCGGACGAGCACTGGAATTGTTGGGAAATGACCGGGAACGACCGGGCGAGCTGCGTGTGTTCGGGTCTCCACTTGGGTGGCACCCGGAGAAACACAAGGACTGGAAACCCATCGTGAAAAATGTCCAGAAAGTTCCAATAGCTCAGGCTGGTTGCCGCTGGTGTGTCCAGTGGTGGAAGTGGAGAAAGTCAGATCGATTTCTGCACGAACAGTTTTTTGTTGTTTTGCTTAGGTTCCATATGAATGGGTAAACCCACTTCCGGGGGTATGTTTTTTTCGTTTTGCTTCCGGTTCCTTACTAAATTCAAGTGTTTCTTCTACCAAATTGATTGTTCTCTTGGCGCGGGAAATGTTTTAACCAGGCATGGAGGTTCTGCGTTCAGCTGCGTTCTGCGTTCAGCACGCGCCTGCGAGGCAAAGTGGGGCACGTCTCGAGTTGGTGAAGCTGAAAATCAGTGCCAGGAGTGGGAATTGAAAAGGATTGAAAAAGCGACTTGTTTGATTTAAGAGTCTTCCATCATGGCTTGATGGACCGTGATAAGATTAAGTTTTTTAGATATGATTCGTGATAAGATTAAGATCCCATAAGGCCCCCCCAGCAGGAACGTTTGTTTGCCGATGTTTGTTGGACGAGGCGTTGTAGGTTCGGATCCACTTGGATCCACTTGGGAATTCCGGAATGATAGCCTGAGACAAAGTCCCACTGCGCTAGCCTTACCACTACGCCTTCGCTTGCAAAGGGCAAGCGGTGATCATTGGATACAAAATGAACGTGATGGAGACATAACGAGCTCTACCCCTTCTGATGAAATATGTTGCCAACACTATTAAATATGCTACAAGCAAGCGATGAAAGGGGATCCCTCTGATGACATTCATCCAAGAGCGTGTCCTGATTCAATTGTTTTGCAACAACTTTGCTAACTTTGGACGGAAGTACGTGAAGTACGTTCCGGGAGAAGTCATAGAGGCGGTTGGGTAGAATTGACAAATGTTATATAAGACTCAGGTAGAACAAAATAATGTTCCAAACATGGCTGGAAGCTTTGGAGCTGTTTTCTGCTGGTGTTGGAAAATGGAGTTGCAACCATTTGGCAGAGAACTCTGATAAACTATATATACTTTTGCACTTCCTGACAGGAAAATCACCTGTTTGTAGAGGAAATTTGCCATCCATGGGCCATTGTCCACTTTCGATCCGAGAAGATTCAGGGAGTGCATTCTGGATGTAGTCGCAACTTATGGGTCCAACATGAAGTCCATTGGGCAATTGCTTTTTTATGGCCTACCGAACTTCAGCCCTCCACACTCCTTGCATGGGTTCGTCAAGGGTGCTTCG